GAATTCCTCAGCCATAGGAATTCTGAGAGTTAAAGTCCACAGGTTTTAATGTTGTCAAAGTTGGATGCCCTTGATATGGGATCTTCTGCTTGAGCAGGGGGTTGGACTAGAAGACCTCCAAGGTCCCTTTCGATCTTATTATTCTACGATCTATGTTGTCAAGACACTGTAAAACACTGCCTGGGAATCTCACGCTTTTCTGAATTAAGGATTAAGGATCCAAACGTAATCAAATCATTTCTCGTGAACTTTTTTGACGGAGGTCCAGTCCAAAGGTCTCTTGATGGGGCAAAAAGTATTTTCGTAATCCTCATAGTTGAAGAATTATCTTATTGAGGTATCATGCAACAAGTTTTAGAAGACCTTTATCTGCTTTGTAATTCATGCCCACTCCATGATAGATCAAAACGGAAGATTCCTCACGCTTGATACTTTCACGGAAAGGCTTTCTCCTAAAAACAGACAGAGTTCAGATCGAATCCCAGTTCTTTGTTGATACGAATAGGTTGCAAATTTATATAAGTTGCAAAGACCGTATTTTGAAGTGTTTACACTCATGCTTAAAACAACCCTTGGTTATAGAAAACACAGCTTAATAAGAGACAACAACTGCTTTACATTCTGTTTTCAAGTTTGCTTGGGATACAGTAGTTCTGCTAGATATAACGGCAGGCAAGATAAAATGACATACATACGGACAAAGAGTGGAACCGAACTGAATTTGATTCTGAAGCTTTTTCCCAGCAGGGCAAAAGAAAATATAAAATGTCATTAATGCCACCCACTAAGAAACACAAACACAATGGGAATATTGGTGAGGGAGGCCCTGCCACATTTAATGATTAGCCCTTTCCACCAGGGGAGAAGGCTTGCGGGAAAATTTCCACCCCCGTAATGGAAAACTCCCGGAATTACGGCAGCTACTAAAAATGAACAATTTCTATTTTATCGACTCTGGAAAAGCTGATCTTCCACCACCTCGCTCTTCCTCAGCATTGTACTGTTCCCGGATGTCCAGCCGGGTTTCCTCCCTTCAAATAAGTTTAACAGCTGTCCTGCCAAAAATTGCACATCAGGAAAACTTGCAGCCGTTCTCCCTTCATTCATGAATAATTCTTCTTTTTTTGTGTGATTTGGCTCCTCTTTAGCAACTCCCAGAGTGTGACAAGCGTCCCTGGATTATTCTGTTTGAAACTACACTTCTGGGCTACTCGCAAACAGTTTTCCTCCGGCGTACCCACTCCTCATGCCCCCCACGAAGATAAAACATACATTGAAGAGATCATTGCAGACACCCCCCGGGGTAATAAAACCCCAAACCAAGCCCAGGATTCCTTCTTTAGGAAAGTCGGTGATGTTTCAAGATGCTGGGGATGAAAAGGCATTTTAATGAATTCTCTTAGAGCTTCATGGTCCCATTTGGGTTTCTAGTAACCAGTAAAATGAGGCTGTATTTCTGTCGGGTGAAAAATAATTTAGCCAAGGACCCTGCATGGAAGTGTTTTCCTGGTACTGAAAATCTGTGTTTTTAAAAAAAGTTTTTTTTTAAGTTCTCTATAAGCCACACTTAATTCCCAGTAGAAATCCAGCAATTATTTGCACTAAGCCTCCACTCGCACCTATGTGCTAGTCGTTCCCTACTCTAGGGGACGCTCATCTCCATTTCAAAGCTGAAGAGCCAGCGCTGTCCGAAGACGTCTCCGTGGTCATGTGGCCGGCATGACTCAATG